TTTATTTCAACCAAACTATTTCTTAAATCAAAGGGGTAAAACTTCTTAGTTTACTCACGGTAAACTCGACGTCATTTTTTTGTTCTTAAGGTATCAAATAACTAATGTAGGTAAAGCAAAACTTATCATGAAGCATTTCTTCCATGGTTAATGTCCTTTTAAGTTTAAGGCACAAAAATTAATTTTGATAGTTTCTTAAGAAAATTTTTTGTAATTATGTTATGCCAAAATTTCGTTCGAGTGATAATTAACTGTACTATAATATAAATCATTCTGAAGTAACGCATAAAGTTACATAAAATCTACCTAGTTAAAGTATAATGTCAGCACTGTTTATCGTGAGAATTTTGTTTTTTTATAGTAGCAAAAGCAAATGACTTAAATCACTTTAAAAAAAGCACAAAAATAAAATTAAAAAAACATTGCTATGAACAATATTTTTTGTTTTGTTTTTTCAATTCACCGTTGTTTTATACTTTTGAAATTTATCTAACTTACACTGAGAAACAAGGTGCAGTCGAACTTCGTAAATATGATAATATTTACCGTGTTTCTGGCTCTATGGGAACACCGAGAAACTTCGTAAATTTCTACCGAAGCACTTTGGTAATGATTTCAGTAAAATTAGCTATGAAATATGGTTTTATAATAAGTGATAAAATTTGATAAATGTGGAAAAACGTGATTGTATTATCATATTAACTTAGAGCATGGTATAAAAACCAATTTTTCGATTAAATTTACTTTTCTGTTTTGTATTTTTTTACTTAATGGGTGGTAACAAGGATTATAGTTTCGAACACCGGAAATTGTGAAAAACAATTATCACATGAACGGAAAAATTAACAAATAAATGGTTTAAATATTTTGGTTTTCTATTACAAGAATTATGTTTTCTTACCAGAAATTTCAGTTTCATTCAATAACGTAATTTTGCCAGAACTTTTTTCTACTTGTAGTTTCCTTTAAATGTGAGGAAATAATTAGCATCAGTCCACTCGTGTAGACAAATATTTCATTTTATTAATTAATAAAACAATATTTAATTAAGCATCTCAGAGCTGATGCTAAAAAAGTCCTGTCGCACAAATTATTATTATACACGCACTCACACATGAAAGTTATTATACCCTGAATCGTTCAAACAACTAAAACGGGAAAAAAATTGTTTAAGTCTTTTTTTTATTGTTTTAAGTCTTAGTCTGACGAGAAATATGAGAATATTTATTTTTTATGCTCGCAAAAATCATTTTACCATATAGAATTAGCCTTAACTGTGTAATATAGCTAATCTTTCCAGGAAATTAAATTTATTTCCTCTAAGATAGAGACATAGAAATAAAGACTTTAAACCCGATTCACGAAAATAAAGGATTTCTCTTTGACTTCAAGTCAATTAATTTTTCTCCTACAAAGACTTAACGTATGCATTATTTTTCAGCATATTTTTGTGCTCTAAATTACCATAACAATTAACTAAAGTAGAGCGTATTTTTTTCATCTTCTAGAAGTTTATAATGACATGGCTGAAAGTTTTCTTTTTTAAAGAAACCAGGCGTTATGTCAATTAACTTCAACTTTCCACTTGAACTAAAACTTAATTAGACTTGCTTTATATTCTTCCTATTATAAAAGCTTTATATACCGATAAGATTTTAAGATCTCCTTAAGAAGCTTAGAATAAATAGAGAACTTTATTAAAAGAGAGTTTTATTAGTAGAATTTAAAACGATAATATTAGAGTCCGTGTTAAGGTAACTGCTAATAAATATGTAATCTATTTAATTAATATAAAACACTAACTCTTCTGCCCAATAATAATACCCAATGAGCTAAAAACCAATAAAATTTCGCATTCGCAGAGAAGAAGTGAAAATTGAATTATAAGCATTAAGCAGTCGTAAGTATTAGCTCTTAATTGTAGTACATCTTTACAAATATTAAAAATAAATAGATTTAGCATATTTAATGAAACAGACTGAATGGAAATGAAAGATTAAAAGCGATCGAACTGAATTCATGATTTGGGTAACTCAGATCGTTTGCATCATGAAATTACGATATACAATGAAAGACAATAATCGTCATACAATATTAAGAATAAAGTAAGAAATAATGATGAGTTTTTTGGGTACATAAAGTTCACATTGAAATAAAAAGCAAGTTATTTGTAGAATGTTTCATAATAGAAAGCAAACGATTTACAAATAAAACTATAAAGAAAAGAATGCAAATTATGCTTAATGAATTAAACGATTAATAAAAACAAACGATTAATAAAAACAAACAATTAATAACAGAATGAATATTAAAGAAAGCAAACGATCAATAAAAACAAACTGTTCAATGTTTTTATTTTAAAAAGGCACAGGGTAGAAAATTTTAAGCTTTTTAATAGTTGTAATGATGATTCATCATTATCACATGAGAGAAATGTATTTTATCAATAAAAATCTGTCCTATATGTTAGTTTTTTTTTCCTTTGGTTTTTATATATTTTGCGAGTTTATGTAAAATTGAAGAACTTAAAACTGGTATGTCCAATGAAATTTAAAATTTAGTTTGTAGGTAATCTAACGTGATTACCTACAAATCAGTGAGAATCATTCAATCAGTGAGAATCAATCAATCAGTGTGAGAATCATTTGATTAAAACGTTATTTCCTAGTTACATTTAAATCTATTTAATTAATTTAATCAAAATTTAATGCATATAAATTTATCGAAATGCATACAAATTTAATGAAATGCATATAAATATAAATCAAAGGTTTCAGAAGGCGTATGTGCTTTTTATTTTTAAGACGTCATTTTAAAAAGAATAATAGCATAAGTCTTCAAATCTAGATCAGTCTAGAATTCAAGTCTAGATCAAAATACACAAATACCCAATGAGCTACGGAAATGAGCTCGATTTTGTAGTAAGCCTAAAAAGAGCAGTCAAAGCAATTTTGTCGTGTGATTGGCGATCGTAGAGAGCAGGGGTTTAGGTACCCTAGTATCTTACTTAAACTCTCCATTAAAAAAAAATACTATTAAAGGCAATTTTAGGATAAAATATTAAAAGGTCAGACTTTTTCAGAAAAAAATTAGCATTCCACTATTAGCATTCCATAAATACCACTATTAGCACTCATGCCCACTATTAGCATCTCTATCATGAAGTCGATTACTAGAATTAGAGTATTTTGCGACTATTTCCACTGTTGGAATCTTTTTTTGCTGTCCAAAAATGAAATCTCCGTCATGACGTCGACATTTTTTTTTACTGATAACTTTCAAGCGGGAATGTTTAGTTAATTTTAACCATTTTAATTTTAATTTATTACCACCGTTTAATAGCTGACCCAATTCTGTGTTCACGACCACCAACAGCATCGTAATTTTAAACCCAAACCTAAAGACAGTGAAACTCTTGGATCAAGCAATGGTAGAGAATAGCCTTCGCTGAGAACTTTGACATGGAACATGGAGACACAGCCGCATTTGCGTTACGTAAAGAGTAAAACCATGAAAAACCCCTATGGTTAGCCTGACGGCAAGACATTTATAACCATGCGAACCGAAAGCAGAATCCATATCAACCAGGTATTAACCAGTCACCGTTGGGATTTGAACCTAAATCACCTCACTGGGGCACAATTCCTGAGTCACTGTGGCTCTTTGTCATCGATATATCTCATTGATGGCACCTTTCAGGTGAAATCCTTTCTTCAACGTTCACTGTTGGAATCTGTATTCAAGTTAATTTCTGAAATGTAAGCTGTTCGCCTCCGTATCAGTTATATTTTGTGGTTATATTTTGTTGTTATATAATTGTTGAAATCTCTGTCGAGAAGATTATTTTTAGAGCGTCAAGGTTGTTTGTGACATAAAACCTGTTTTATTCATGTTTGTTTTACCTTTTATTCTAATGTCTTTATTTTCTTTGTGAATGTTACCAATAATAAAATTGTGAATGCTGAATGGATCTTAATTATGACAATTTCGAAATTTAGATTAAAAAATGAGCATTAATTGCATTTGTAATTCAAAAATTAGATTTTCTAATGTCCATTTTTCTTTATTTGAGCATTAATTCCACCGCTACTGCTCCTACATTAATATTCAAATCATAATTTTAATGAAATGTGACGTGGTAGAATATTATAAATTGAATGGACAGACTGCTATCAGTTATTTTACCATAATTTTAGAATGAAAATTCTAACAGTGTATGGTAGAGATTTACTGGAAAATCTGGTTTTGAAAAGTATGGTTCTTATCAACACATCAAAAAAAAAAATTTTTACTGAAAAGTAAACTTAACTGAATAAATAATTTTTATGTCATGCTGAAAGTTTGGGTGAAAAATTATCAAATTTTACCACAGTCACCAAATTTTATCACGCATTATAAAACGACATTTTTTTTATTAATTTTACTAAAATTATTACCAAAGCACGTTGATAAAAATAATCGTATTTTTTTGTTGCTGCCATACAACCAGTAACATAGTAAATTTTACCATATTGCGGTAGCTTAACCTTGCTTTTTTCAGGTTAGATATTGTTTTTATAATAATGTTTCATCAAACTATATTTATTTATTTTTAATAGAATGTAGTTTTCAGAAATCCTATACGTATCCATCATGTCTTAATTAAGTGTTTTAAAAAGTGACTTTAAGATATGGCCTTAGTCACTTTAACAATAATTATAAGACAAAAAAGAAATGTAATTGATAAAATACTAACTAATTATACGGCTTTATTTTTAAAAAAAATATTTTTCTATAATTTAACTAGTATGAAAGGTCAAATATTAAATTATGATCAAATTTCATACTCATATTAGCACTACACTTTTTTAGAATCAAATTCAATTCCCCTTTCTTCATTCTGAAAATTTCCCCTTATGTCTATTTATTCTATTTAGGCAAACACACAAACTTTTATCGCTTTTTAGCAACAAACTACTGTTGTTCCAATAAAGAACAGATGTCTGTAAGAAGTTCCGAGATGCATTTTTAACTATTTTACTGTCAGACTCTCTGTTTATACACGAAAAATTCATCCATTATCCTCGACGAAGCAAATATATTATCACAGATGAAACCGAATGAAGTTAGCCAAAAAACAAATCCTTCCTTTCTACTCATTTTCCTCCATCGCTACTTAAATCCGGATAAACACGTTGAACTGACATGAACTCTTTGTAGGATAGAAATCCGTCGTTATTCGTGTCATGGTCTTTGAATATGTCATCCACCTGCTCTGTAATGAAAAAAGAATAAATACAGTTGGTATTGAATAGAATATAACAAAAGACATATGCAGTTAATAATAAAACATACAGTTTATTTTCGATTTTTTTTTCCTTTTAAAAGTAATTTTTTTTAATATAAACTGGTACAAGATAACATTTCCTACTCCTAAAAATAGAAGTAGTGGGTATGATTCAAGTAAAAGTAATTTTAGTGAAAACAATTATTCAATCAATGAATCCTTTAAGCTGTTTGTACTTCCTTTTTTTTCAATTTTTTTAATATTAACTGGTAAACAGCAAAGCAAAAAAGGTTACAATCCTAATGGTTCGAGGAAGAGACCTCAAATATGCTAATTAATAAGTGCAGACGGTATTTTAAGACACAAAATCAGGCACGAAAACGATTTTTCTGTAATTAAGCATGCATTTTTTTCCAACGGATTATGATTTCTGACCTTGAAAATTTAAGGAGTAGCCGCAATCTGGGAAATATGGTCCCAAAAATTTCGTCAGGAGAGCGGGCCAAATTTTGGACCCCTTAAAGTTAATTTTACGTATTTTATCGGAAATTTTTAATTATTTATTATTATTTTTTTATTTCATTTAACAACAGTCAAAAAAATTTTCGATTAATTTTAGCTAGAACTTTAACATCATTTTAATACTCTGAGCATTAATTTTCGAAAGCAGGTTTTCCTGTAGTAAAATTCTGGTTGACTTTAACAATTATCAAAATCTGTTTTTATTTTTCTCTTTTTACTTAGTTATAAATTAGATTTTTTATGAACTTTACAAATTATAATCCAATTAAAAACCTCTTTTTCATACAGTTTGCTAGTATTTCCTTTTTCTTCTCTTAGAAACTCAAATCAATAGTTTTTGATGCTTGAAAAGCATAACAGCGTTAACTGTAATTAATTTTATTTTATAACCTTTCATCTTAAAGATATATAACACAAATCTAAAATGTCTCACTTTCAACACTTAGCAAGAGGTTTCCCTCTTTTACTGAATTTGTTTCTTCTTCATCAGAGTGATGAATTAAAGCAACAAGTAGCTCCAATCCGTCAAGTCTCTGATTTTCATCAAAATCATGTAACCTAAAATTTCAATGTTTTCTTATGACAAATAAACAAGGTAAACATCATTACCTTTATTATTATCAACTCAACAAAACCAGCTATTTATTTATAACTGATATATATTATAATTATTATTATAATTGTTGTTATTATTATTATAATTTTTATTATTTTGCTTTTATAACTTAAAAGATAGTGCAAAAAATAGTACATGTAGGAGTTGTATAGGATATGTGAGGATTGTTGAAGAATACAGTAAAATATTTCTCATTTTTCTAAATAGAGTAGGACTCAGGAAATAATTCAGTTTTAATCAGGAATGTAAATGGAATTTTGTTATGGACATCTTTAATATATACTATATGACTCCTAATCAAAAATTAAGTAAATGAAAGTATCCATATTAGGGGGCAAAAACTGACGATTTATTGATAACTGATATATATTATAATTATTATTATAATTGTTACTATTATGATTGCAATTTTTATTATTTTGCTTTTAAAACTTAAAAGATAGTGTAAAAAATAGAGCATATAGGGGTTGTATAGGATATGTAAGGATTGATGAAGAATACTGTAAAATATTTCTCATTTTCCTAAATAAAGTAGGACTCAGGAAATAATTCAGTTATAATCAGGAAAGTAAATGGTATTTTGTTATGGACATCTTTATATACTATATGACTCCTAATCAAAAATTAAGTAAATGAAAGTATCCATATTAGGGGGCAAAAACTGACTTCAAAACAAAAAAAACTTAAAATGGTTAACCACTGAAGAAGGTGAAACTGTACACTTTAAAAATATTTTATTTCTGAAGGAAACATGTGTAAAGAATTGTATTAGAAAACTATCATTTGCATATTTGTAAGCATTATAATTGGGTATAATATGAAAAAAACACAACTACTTCGATTTAGTAGGAACAGCATATGACGCAATGCTAAACGAATGGAATTTAGTTGTTGTTTATTTAGTTATTGTTATTAGTAGTTGTTGTTATTTGTTTTAGTTGTTGTTGTTTATTTAGTTGTATTTAGTTTCAATAACTTTTCTTTATAATGCAATAAAATCTGGCGAGCAGCTATTTAAACGATCGAACACTTCGTTTGTTTATTTGTGGCTTGAAGTTAGACTCGCAGAAAATGCCGTTCGTGGGTTAAATTTAGTAGGAACAACACAACCTGTGACGTAAGCTATATTATACCCAATTATTCAACATTTTTCTATCGATTATTATATCGTTTGCAGTATTTTTAATATTTTATAGAATTCTAGTTGAAAATTGCTTTAGTTCAGTTTATCTTTTGTTCTACCTCTCACAATGGGAGCTACTTTTGGTTTACTGTCGCTTATAAGGTAAGCTTTTCTTCAGAAACAAAATAAATAATTATTTTATATAATAGATATCAGTTGATTTAGCTCTTAAAAACAGTTACGAATTGAAAAGCGATTATTAGAAAAACGTTTACGTTTCATCAGCTATTTAGACTTATTTTGATATTTTTGCACCCAACTTTATTTTGCAGCAACAAAGTTTACTGGTATTTCTCTTGCTTAAATCTTAATTTATTCCACTTAACTTGTGCACTATATTTATAATTTTTAATTGCAAAAGATTATAAAATATTAAATGTAGTGTTACAGGATTCCTTGTGAATTAGTTTCATACAATTCTATACATTCCAAAAGAAGTCAAAATATTTAATAAATTTATCGAGTAGATAATATAAATGAGATTGCGCTCAGAAAATATGAATCAATAATTTTCTTTTTAATTTTAATTTTTAAAATTATTAATGAAATACGGTATTTGATAATAAATTATTACGTTTTGAAATAAATTTGAATGTTTTTATATAATTTTCTTAAATTTAAAACTGTTAACTAAACGATCTCGCTCAAAATGAGTGACTACGTTACGGAAGCATGGATCACTGAAACAACCAATTATTTTTCCTTATCTTAAATTTAAAAAAGTTCGTAAAACTAAGTTGATAACATAGACAACGCTTTGTAAAGTTATATTGATGATTTTTTTCATTTTTTTCCTCTTTTTTTCGAATTCAAATTTAATGAAATTATTTTAGTGATAATGTAATACTTTGTCTACACTTTGGAAACATATATCAATGCATTCCTCCATGGTTCACCACTTTCTTAATTTTTTATTATTCTTAATAAGTTCAAAATTTTTAAAAATAATAATTTACATAACGTTTGCAACAATTTATTGTATACCAAATTTTGTCATCGAAATTAAAACATGCATTAGCCTGAACTGAAACTCCCTGAAAACGAACTTTGTCATATTTTATCGCAATTTGATATATTTGTTATAGTTTATTTGTTCAAAATAAAAATAAAAAATTAACAAGTCATCATAATAATTTGAAATAACAAGAGAAAGACAAAACCAATTTAAATCGAAGAATTCCTGAAATTGTATTTTATTTACTCAGAAACTTAATATTTCCTTCACCTACATTTAGTTCATAATTTTAAAACTGATCTTCTTACATAAATATTTATTACTTTATTTCCTACTAATTTCTATCTCAAATTAAATATTATACTTCACAAAGAAATACTCCGAAGCAAATTTACCTTTCGACATTTTGTAGTATCTTCTAAAATAAAATTTTAATTTATCATTTTAAATTACTATTTGGTTAAAATTGAATAATATATTTTTTTCAAAAACGGCATTGTAATAATTTAAAATAGCCTCAAAATACCAAACAAGTAGTTATAAATGTATTAGTTAATAAAAAACCATAATTAAAGTAGCGAATTAAAAATTGTTACCCTTGCTTTTTAAAATAAATTGCGATAATGAAACATAAAATAATAAAAATATATGTCATGCGATCATTTATTTAAAACAGATTCGATATTCGATTAATAAATTTCAATCGAAAAATTTAAAAATTAATCATTTTTAGTTCTTTGAAAGTACTATTTCATTTCTAAAAATTAAATACTATATTCTATAGCTAAAGCATTTTTAAAAAATCAGCTATATTGTGAACAATATTACTACCACCGCGAAAGTTCAAACGAGAAATGTCTTAACTAGCAGAATCTTTTTTTAAAAATTTCGAGCGAACTATCATTAACTATTAAATATTCTTTAAATGATCTCGAAGAAAGTAAACAACGATAAAGACAAAAGTTCTTTAGAAAGTTCGATTTTCGTTGCAAGATAACTGAAGCAAAAAAAAGGAACACTCGAAAAAAAATTCTGGTTTTCTCGTTTTTGCTCTTAAGATAAAAGCCTTTGTCTTACGTAACAAAGATAAAGCACAATAAAAATAAAGATTTAAGAAAACTGTTATACGACCCGCATGAAAAACATTTATTTAAAGCCGCATATTCTAGGATGCGTAATAAGTATCAAAAATATTTAGCGCCAATAAATAATAAAATAAAAGTTTCTTTAAATACAATTTTTATTAATTTCTAAGTAAAATTATTATGTTTCATTTTTCGTTGCAACTTGATAGATTCGAGATGATAGACAAATTTTTCGAAGGGTGACATTTTTACGTTAAAATGTTTTATTAATCATGTTTTGCAATTGGTTATTTAGATTTTTTTAAGAATTTTGTTGAGGTAACAGCACAATAAACTGAAGCATTCTATAGTAATCATAGTTTTTTTTTCTTACTAAACACAGTTTTGAGAAATTGATCCTTCGAACAGTTTGAAAATGTGGCTTAACATGGTGTTGTCATATTGAAAGGGTATAAAGAGTAACTGAAATTTTGTGTATCCTGAATGCTGTGAACACTGTGCTGGACGAAAATAGGTAGTTCAAAATATCAAATATTATGATATAAGTATTTTTAATAATCAAATATTTTGACGTTTCAATTTTCAACTGTGACATTTTTACATCAAAAGGTTACTTAGGAATGTTTTCAAATAGGTAATTTACATTTTTTAAAAAAGTTAAATTTAAAAGTTAAAAGTTTTTATAGTTAATGAAAGTAATCCAAAAAAATTGATCCCTCGAACAATTTATAAATGTGGCTTATCATTATGTTGCTCAAATCGGTTCAGGTGTAACTGCTTTGAATTGCAACTCATATTGAAGGTATGCAAGAAAAAGGAACTAAAATTTCGTATTTCTTAAGGCATCTGACTACTGCAAAAACATAATTTTAGGCAAACTTTTCGGAAATGAGTTTATTATAAATTTAAAATTCCCGTACTCTTAGTTGTCTAAAAATACTTTACTTTTGCTTGTGCCATATTACTTACAAAGTTACAGCAGTTTTTGCACAAGGTGATAACAATTTATAAGCTAATTATTTTAAGTCTTTAAATGCGTTAAACTCAAAATCAGAGTTTTTCACATTTTACATCACTATAAACACGATTGTTTCTAAGATAATTGTTTACAGTTTTTTATTAGTGTTTATAAATGGTTAGAACAACAGACTAAGAAAAAAAGATGAATTTCATTTTTTATGCATCTTTTTTTCGCAAAGACAAGTACCGAAATTTTTAACTACAATGATCCCTAACTCAGTAGTATACGCACTTGCTTTTAAGGTAATAGTTCAAAACATAGTTGATAGACTTCTAAACAAAATCATGAAAACATATTTGATTTTCGACAATAGAAATATTTTCTACTGTGCTTAGCGTATAGCAGGAAAATACCTTATTGTTTCTTAAAAATGACCATTTAAAAAAATAATAATTGTTTTGCTAGTTTTATAAGTTTTTAAACAAAACAAAACCAATGAACAACTTGTTTTTTTAAATTTTTTATTAATATTTTGAAAAAAAATTCGAAACTTTTCGGATTCCTTAAGTGCTGTAAACACGCTGTTGACGCAAAATACATATTTTTAATAATCAAAAGTCAATATGTATGCACGCTATCAATATTTTAACTATCAAATATTTACTACTGTAATTTTTTGTGTTTCTTTAAACAAAGTAAACGCAAAGTATACTTACGCAAAGTATTGAAAGTCTATATCAAAATTTGAGAATATATCCGCAACGTCGCCAAATATACCAGCGAAATCGAACTCCAAATGTCTACAAAATAACACTATCATAAATTTTAAATTAATGATACATAATAATGAATACTTATTGAGAGCACATGCATCTAACAACTGATTAGATTAAAGTTGCAAAGTAAAAGTATGAATAGCTGCCCCGATAATTGAGTAAAAAGTTTTATTTACTTGCTCATTTTTTTATCCATTAGCATTATTTTTGTTCTAATATTTCAGGTTAAAAGCATTTGAGGCTAAAGAATATAAATATTCTAAAAAAATCTCCTATAAAAATCTTTTGCCTAGACGAATTTGCTGTACATCCTATTGTATTGCAAAAAACAAGAACATGATATCAAATTCAGTAAAAAGCTTTCAGGCAACATAAAAAGAGTTTTTTAAAAGATAAAATGCATCCAAAACTTTAAAAATGTACTTTTGTCTTCATTAACTCATATGTCAACAGAAAAAAACATCCAAATATTTCGCCGAATTAGAATAAAACTAATAAGCAAATTTATAAGTTGTATTAAAAGTAATTTAAGCAAAATTATAACTCATCCTACAGAAAAAGTAAAGATATGTTTACGGCAGCAGACTGCTAAATAGAATTATTCGGAAATCGTTGCCATTTTTCCGCTCTTTAAAAATAAGCTCTTTTTTTTTATCCTCTTGAAATAAAGTAGAAGCTTTTATAACATTTCTCTGTAATTCAGACTATAGTTTTACTAATTTAAAAAAAAATGTCAAGGAAATTAATTTTTAAAATATTTTATAGGGAACCAAAATAAAAAAATCGAGACAAAAATTGATTTCTGAACGTATTTTATGAAAAAATAAGCTTTTCCTAATTCTATGTGAAAAAAACGGATCACCTTGAACAATATTTCAGCAAATGATTTCATGCTCTGAGATTCATTTAATCTTAAAAGGTTCGAAGAGGTTACCTCAAATATGCTAATTAATTACTGCAGACGATATTTTAAAATACGAAATCAGACTAAAAAACGTACTTAAACGAACATAAATGAGCATACCTTTTTTATCGAAGAATTTGGACCCTCACTGTAGAGGGGAGGGATACGAAATTCAAACAATTCAATTCTTTATAAACTATTCGAACAATTTTGTGATTTGCCATTTAAAAATATATTCTTTAAAATGACGTGAAAAGTTTATACTTTACAATTCAGATTCTTTACGAATTTAGAAATACTAGAAATATTATGAAATATTATATAATTATTAAAAACTATTTTCGTATGGTGTTACCTTCAGCTAAACAAGTTTTAAATATATGCCCGAAAATTTTTCAATTTTCATAAACGCTCTCGATGTGTTGTGAAATACGCAAAAAATAAAATTAACATTAAGTGGTCAGAACTTTCGACCATTCATTTGACCAAACTATTGGAACCATATTTCGCAAATTGCGGCTACCTCTCATGTAGTTAGGGTCAAAAATCCAAATCTGCCGAAATAAACTCATGTTTGTTCAGAGAAAGTACGTTTTTATTTCTGATTTCGTAACTTAAAATATAGTCTGCACTAACTTATTAGCATATTTGAGATCCCCTCTTTGAATCATTACGATAAAATCTTAGTACGTAAAAAATCCGACCTTCAGATCAAATGTTGTTCAAGGTTTCTGGCTGATTTTCGCTAATTGAATTTTTTATAATTTTATTTAGAATATTAATTCCCCAATTGCATACAGATTAAATCAATTTTTTAAAAGTACTTTTAATTATTTAGTACATCATTATAACATGCTTTAAACAATTTTGCGATTTTGAAATTATTTAATTTAGGTGAACCAATTAACCACCGATTTATCAGAATTAGATTTTTGATTCCATTATTTTAGGAAAAAAAGTTATTCGAAAATCTAAAAGAAAACCTCGTTATGGGTATATTACTATATAGGATGCTCCCAATGTTCCCTTAATGTATATTTTTATAATTCTTATCAAAAATGAACGAAAACGATTAAGCATGAGCTTTATAGGTCATATTTAAGTGAGGAAAACACTTTCAAAATTGGACAAATTCTGGCAGCGAATATAGTCTAAGTATAAAACACCAAAAAAGGTGAAACTCCAAGGTGTGTCTAATCAAATCTATCTTGTCATTTGTTACAATTTTCGTTCCTGATCAGTGATTCGAGTGTTTCTGTTTTTTCTTCGAATAAATATTAATTTCTGACCCCAAATTTTCATACTTGTTTTTATTAATTTCATAAGAATTTAAAAAATTAAATTTGTGGTTGATTTTTAGAGAATATTGTGTATTAAGAAATAATCATAAATTTGAGATTTTAACGTTTGAAATTTTCGTCATGTAGAAAGACCATGATCGGGTGCTTCTCGAAATAAAATGAATTCTAAATTGAAAAAAAAAAGCTTTGTCAAAACTACTAGCGTATAGAAACGTTCACAGTGATTCTGCCTCCATGGGAGCACCAAAATACTCGGTAATTTCTCCCTAGGCACTTTGGTAATGAATTTGGGAAAATTAACAATGAAGCAGGGCTTTATTTTTATTTTGGTTTCATCAACCCAAATTGTTTCTTTTCTTTTCATCAGAAATGTCATAACCGTAAAATAAGGTAGTTTTACCAGAATATTTTCTATCCATATGAGTATTATTTAAACTAATTCTCTCAATTTCCTAAAAATATAAAGTCCCTCTTGAGAAAACATTAAAGTCGCTTATGGATTTGGCATTTTCAATATTCTAATATTTTTGAGAAAATTAAACTGAAATCATAGTAGAAAATCAAGATTATGTATATATTTATTGCTTTAGGCCAGAGATCACAAAATTGTTTTAAAATCCTGCTGTAATCTACCAGCCAAAACAACTGACTAAGCTTTAAAAATGATATTACATTTTGTTTAACATCTCATCTCTACCAAAGATGTCCCCTCGAGCTACAAGAAACTCGCAATTGACGGTTAGGCCATTATTACTCTGAGCGTCCAGTTTTTATTGGCATATTTTGACAATCCCTTCTTTATTCTCAATACGATTTTAATTTTTATTCCCAAAAAAGGTGAAATTGAAAATAAAAGCAAAATCATTTAAAACACTCAAAAAAATTATCTATACATACTCTTTGTCTACCTTAATTTTTGTCTCAGTATTCAATTCTTCAGCCAATAAAAATGATGCTAATAATGGTATCAGTTCTATCCTCCAAATCATTTTCATCATCTGTAAGACATATCACGTACATCAAAAGTTGTTACTCATAAAAAAAAAATTTTAAAGCTGAAAATGTTTATTTATTTGCTTTTTAAACATGAAAAAATAAATTCTCTCCTTTCAAATTCAAAAATTTAAAATTTCTTTGGTGGGAACCAAGATTTAGGACAAAAAATAAATAAAATGCTTTAGATTAAGGACAAAAAATAAATATTTGAGTGCGTAAAACGCAAAAAATGGTTAGATTAAAAGTGTGGCGTAATTACCACTACGAAAATTAAACATGAATTCACTAGTATATAGGACATGCTAACTTGATTCAACCTAGAGGTACCTTTTGGTAGATGAAGGTTGGCATTGTCGATTACCCCCCCTCCCCACAATGGTGACCCGGACGTGATATGATCACGCCTATCTTGACAGTAACACCCACTTCGATATGATGATATGATGGTGCCTACTTCGATGGATGGTTCACATTGAACAGTTGACTTGCTACTTATGACTGCAACATTATCCACCTCCTAACGCAGTTGCTACTCAGTCTCTTCTCGATCAAACACAACGTCAGCCTGCATACACTCGACAGCTAACTGCAACACGGGAGCGATTACGACTGTGAAGTTAATACACCTCTCACATTCAGCACTCAAAAAAACCTGGTGACCTTAATCCAGCTCTCCCGGTCACCCAACAGCAACCAGTGGTATCCGTTCATTGAATTCTATCCCTGATAAAATTCTGGTGGGGGAGTATTGTGGAGTAACTACCACTACAAAAATTAAACATGAATTCACTAGTATATAAAATCTGCTAACTTGATTCAATCTAGAGGTACCTTTTGGTAGATGAAGGTTGGCATTGTCGATAACTCCTCCCCCAACCAAAGCATCAAAACCAGTTTGATTGCAGCTCTCAAGTTATTTCTTATATTTGCCTTACGATTTCTCTATGTTTTGCTTTGACAAATAAACAGGTTATAATGTTTTTAATCTCTCTTTCCTGGTCAATTAATGAACAAATTTTGATAACGATTTAGTTTTGTTGAACTTCATCCTTTTTTCCTTAAAATGTCATTCTTTTAAATTTCTTTCAAACGATTTTTCCTTTACTTAAATCATCCGCGACTCCCAAAGTACTTCTTTTTTCACAAAAATTCAAAAAATACTTATTAAGCCTTATAGTATACCTTGTATACAATATTTTTAAAAATACTTTTACAATTCACGCAATTATAAAATGTTTAAAAATATAAATAACCGCAATCGCAACAAAATTTCAAAAACAAGTAAACACAATTTTTTTTGTCAACAATTGTTTAACGAAACATAACTGTGCACATATATTGAAGTTAATAATAAATGTTAAATAAAATATTAGATAAACTTAAAAAAATATTAGATATATAATCAGAAATTTTTAATTTTCTCTACATTTAAAAATTAATTCAAAATCATCTAATTATTTGCTTTTTTTCGCTCCGGTTATAAAATGGGGAAAATTTGCTGCCTATGTTTATTTAAATTCTAAATTATTACCTGTCTTTGATTCCATGAAGTTCCAATTCAAATATTTTAGGGAGAAAGGTGTCGAAAAAATTGTTTCTCAGATTATTATTTAATAAATAGAAAACATCATGTTCAGAATAAATGAAATTGGCAATTTCAAACGAAAAAGTTTAAACTTCACGATGAAAAAAAGAAGCTAAAATTCTAGAATATTTTGTTTAAGCGCGACGTAGAATATTTTGTTTAAGCGCGACGAACTTCACGAAAATCACCGAAAACGCATCACGCTTTGAAAAATCACAGAAAATGCACCTCACATGCACCAGAAAAATTCATAATTAAAACCGAATTAAAAAATTAGACATTGGGCTTCCATAATTTGTTTGCAACTGTACTCATTAGATTTACTGTTTAATGTTATATTTTTTTAGTGCTGCAATAATTATTTTTAATGCCACGATGAGAAATTTTTGCATCACAATCCGTTGTGCAGATAACAAGCACACAACCTTTATTTTATTAAATATATAGGCAGCGGGAATTGAAAATTTGAAAATAGAAAAACATTATGACTAGAAACATGTGCCCATTATTTCACTTTAGGTTTTGTTCTTTAACATGTTTCATGTTACTTTACTACAAATGTTTAAATTTTAAAATTTAGAAACCATTTCAAAATCTCGACATCCAAAATCAGTTTCTGGAACAGTTTGTTCATTTGTCAGTCTACAATTTTCATTTCTCAGTGAGATGATCGTTGTGCTATTAAGAAATATATTTTTCGTAATTTTCCACAAAAATTATGTTTAAGCAAGTTTAAAATCTTCACAATTTACATTTGCTACAGAATAATATTTAGCAATTGTTTTGCTACGTTTTCTACTGTTCGACTACAACGATTTAAAATTGAAAGCTCGAAAAAAATTCAGAAAATCCTTACTTTTTTAGAATCGCTTTCTAAAAAAAAATAATTCATTTTTCACTGTAATTTTCTTTTCAAATAAAATAATTATTTCTTATGCGATTAAAGAATATCATTCATATTTTCTAAGAGAAATAATTTAAATAGAAATTATGTCGAATTATTTTTTTCCCTCAAAAATATATTTACATACTTTCAACGACAGAAAATTTATGTTTGAAAATTTAACGATTCTGAAAACATGTCGTTCATAAAAGCGTTTTCGAAAATAATGCGTTCATTTTTTAAGCGAAAAACAAATTAAGACAAAAGTAATTAAATAATATCATTCATAGTTTTTACAACAAATATGTTCACATTTGTTTTTAAAAAATTCGTAAAACATTGTTATATTTGTTTTAGAAAAACTCATTACTCAAGCAAATACTTTAATTTGCTTCTCGCTATACAAAAGTTCAAAGAAACAAAATAGAAATCGAAACCCCAGGTCCTCGATTTATAGAATCGTTTTCTAAAAATAATAAGTTGATCTTTCGCATAAAAATTTTATTTGTGAATAAAATGGCAATGGTAATTATGTCTTTTAAAATTAGGTCTAGAATTTTATTTTTGAATGACATAGGGCACATTTTTATTATAATTATTCCACAACAATAAGAGAAAAGCTACGCAAAATAAAAAGATAATTTTAACTGTAACATTTTTTACAAAAAAAGTTATAGATGAATTTTTCAATTCCATAATAATTGGAATCAGCAACCTTAACTTAAATATATATGGAAAAATAATAAAAATTGTAAAAAACACAAGGAACGTTTAAAACACAAACTCGGCAAAAAAAAAACTTTACCATTTGAAAGAAGAAAACAGCGATTTCAATTATTTTTTAATTAAAATGACGTATATTTTGTTGACTAAATAATACTTTAAATGTTAATTAAAACACATTTCATTTTAATTTTAGAAACGTAATTTTTTTTAAATTTTAATTATATAAAAATTACCACAAATTTTATTAACGCAATGCTGAAAAATGAAGCGGTATAATATTGATTATTTTATTTTGAATAATACGCAAATAATTTAGAGTGAAAGAAGATTAACTTTCCTTGAATTATTTTATAACTTTATTAATAAAATATATCTGAGTTATAAAATCTATAATACTACTTACCTACTAATTAGTAACGATTAATTACTAAAAATTCTATAAATGAAACCTTGTCTAACCGTTGGTTATTTGACGGTGTTACAAGCTGCTCGATTAAGTTAAGAATTTTCCTCAAACGTAACGCGATTGTATTATTTTGTTATTCTCATTTATTTCCTCAAAAATATTGCATAATGAAAATTGTTTGATTTTAAACACAGCATCAGTGGATGTTTTAAGCATCACGCTAAAACATCATTTATAACTACAAGAGCGAAATGTGAAATAACGTAACTTTAAAAAAAACTAGTTTTGTTCAATAATTGTGCATAATTATACCCTACTTAATTTAGTAAAAGCAATTTAACAATATTAGAGATTTACATACTGAGTTGCATCTTGAAGCTTTTTTCTTCTTTCAATAAGAGATTGTCACTGTGTTTACATATTTACCTAACCAATTTTTGACCAAATTGAAAAATACTGAGGAATACTGAATTGAAAATACCACGAAAATGTGAAAAAAAATTTTTAACTAAAAACATTTGAATTGTTATTATTTTTTTTAACTTTTTCAATTATAAGTGTGTGGGGAGTGAGTTGTTATCGACAATGTCAACCTTCATCTATGTAAAGGTACCCCACCATAGAATCGAATTAACATGTCTTATATACTAGTGAAATAGAATTATATTTTTGCAGTGGTTGATACACTACACTGCGGTACTCTCCCACCAGAATTTTATCTGTGACAGAATTCGATGATACCACTTGATTCATTGCTGTTTTTGTGAGAAGCCGGGAGAACTGTATTAAGGTCTCCGTACTTTTTGAGTGCTGATCGTGAGAGTTGTATTGAGTTCACGGTCATGGTCACTCCTATGTTGTCTTTAGCAGTCGAGTGAATATGTTTGACGTTGTGTGTGATGGAGATTGAGAAGCAACAGCACGAAGAGATGGAAAATGCCCCCGTCACATCACGTCTGGGTCACCAATGTGGAATGAGTAGTTATCGACCATATCAACCGTCATCTATGAAAATATACCCCTCCATAGAATCGAGTTAACAGGTCTTATATACTAGTGAATTGGAATTATATTTTTGTAATGGTAGAAATGCTACAAATGTAAAAGAGAATTTAATTTTAAAATTAAAAAATATAAAATTTTAAGTCTAAAATTACAGTAAAAATAATTTATGCTTATGAAATGTAACTTTAGTAAACCCTTTGACGAAGTTAGGACCTTGGTATCCCTTTTTTACATTTTTTCCTGACATTCTAACTGTAAACAATAATGTATTTTGGTATTATTAAAATTATTCTAAAAAAATTATTCTAAAAAATTCTACTTAATAATAATAATTCTACTCAATTCTGAAAAAATAGTCTTATAGTAATTAAAAAAAATCGGTTAGATTATCGGAGTTATATTTATTCTGAAGTATAAAATCCAAAAATAGAAGTATTCTTTTTCAAAATTTTATCAATCATTGATATTATAAATTCAAGAAATTTCAAAGATGTTTAGAAGTTTCTCTTAGATCGAAATAACGGCAAATAAGTGTCAATTTGAAAAATTATTGTTTGGAAGTAGGAAGTGTTATGAAAATTTTACCTTAAACGGAGGAAAGGTCGTCGGTGAACCATGCTGTATTTAATAACCGTAAATTATTACTATAATAAATATATTATTTTATACTTATTATGCCCTAAACTAATATGAAATAAAGAAAAAAGTAAGAAAATTATATTTAATTAAAATTCTGCTTCAAAGGGTTAACCCAGAATCTACACAATAACATATCATAAATAATGTGTTGAAAATTGAATTTTCCATTTAAAAAAATGTAGTTTCCGAGGAACCTAAATGGTATATTTCTTATATAACCTTTTTACTGTTATTTAATTTTTTAAATTAAATTTTAAACTAAAATTCATTTTGTATTCGTAATTTCAATAAAATTTCGAAATCTACTTATTTGAACAACAAGTATTTAGACCCTTTCCAGGAGACTTAATTAGTTCTCAAGTTATCTAAAAAAACTTTTCTTTTAAAGAGAAATCAGAGACTATATTTTATGGACTTGAAATTTAGTATTTTGAAATGCGTTTTTCGGGGAAGATCATATTTATTTCACACGGATTACCAAATATGGAAATGTAATCATCACATCGAAGGTTAATGTTTCGTAATTTTGAAAATGTATTTTTTAATAACAATATATATATATATATATATATATCTAAAATGNAATTTCAAAGCTTGTTATATATATTGAAAATTTAAAAAATGAACTAGCACCCAAAGTTTGCGAAATTATTTAAATGCACATTAATTTCCATTTAATGATTTAAGTATTGTATCTATTAGATGATTACAAAACATTCTTTTCCGATCTATATTGCAGGAAACATAAAGAAATAAAAACAGTATTGAATGTTTAATATGTTTTTAAATATTGAATATCAAAAAATTTTCATAAAAATATGTGTGACCCTATAGACATACAATGTACAAAATTAAAAAAAAAATTTTCACTCTGAGTAACTTTTGATACGATGATTGGATCTTCACGTTTTAGAACTTAATCTTAAAGGCTCGACGGGGTGACCTCAAATATGCTAATTAGTAACAGCAAATGACAGTTTAAATTTACGAAATTTGACACAAAAACGTAATTTCTCTGAATAAACATACATTTTATAAGGGGTATAGGGGTAGCCGAAATCTGGGAAATATGGTCCCAATAATTTTGCCGAAAGAGCTGTCCAAAGTGTGGACCCCTTCCTGCGACACTTGCCATATCTCGAGAACTTTTCAACTGAAACAAATATTTTTTCACACAGTTATAAAATTCGCTTTTCAAAAGATAATTTCATACATAAATATTTTTTAATAATTATTTGGTATTTATTTTTTTATTTAATAGTCTAAAAAATTTTGAATTGTGAAGTATGCAAATTTTTAACCTAATTTTTGAAACAAAGGTAATTATATATAGAAAAGTGCAAAATTTAAAAGAAATTAGTCGAATATTTCTTTTGTAATTAATTTTTAAGTACACAACTGTCTTAAAATTGTATAACTCATAAACTATTCTACCTGTTTCACTTAAATGTTGTATTTTGTCGTATATAATTACATTCTTTAAAATGATGCAAAAATTGTATACCTTAAATAATAAATATTGAATAATAAAAATAATAAATATTGAGAAAAAGTTATACATTGCATGGAATTATCTTCTTTAAAACAAGTTTTATAATTGCGCGCAAATATTTTTTAATTCGCTTAAAAAGTTCTTGAGATATTGTGAAATACGCAAAAAGTAAAATTAACATTAAGGAATCTAAACTTTTAAATCCCTCTCCTAACCAAACTATTTGGACCATATTCCCCAGATTGCGGCTACCATGGGTTTTTGGGGTCAAAAAACCGATTCCATCGGGGAGAAAAGAGATTTGTCTATTATGAGATCATAAGAACGATTTTTAAATCTGACTTCGTAACTTAAAATATCGTCAGTACTAATTATTTAGCATATTTAAGGTCCCCCTTCGAACCAATAAAAGTGAGCCCTATAAGTGAAATTTCGATCAGTAGATCAAAAGTTATTTAGGGTGGTTCATTTTTTATTTTGAGCACTGTACATTAAAGGTAAACTATTTAGCTGTATACAGAGTTGATATTTGGATTAATTTAAGACTGTTTAGCACCGTGTCATATGAGAAACATGTTTCAAAATTTCGGATATCATAAAACTATTGTCAAAAAATATGTGTGACAGTCTGGACGTACATTAGAGGTAAAATAGTTTTATCCAGAGTTAAATGTTAGATTTATTTTAAGACAGTATAAATGCACTATAGTATTAAGACAGTAAAAAATATCGATTCTTGTTAGTGATGACGTAAAAGAAAGTAATCAGCAAATAATTACTTTCAATGATTTAAATTATTAAAGCAATCAACAAATGATTACTTATTACATCACCAGCATTTAACATCCAATCCTTTTCGAATTTATTGCAACCTATGCTAAATTCCATAAAGTAATTTTGGACCCACCTAGAAACGAGGGAACTTCCGAATCATTCATCAACTTAACTTTTTGACGAAATTAACCTATATTTCCGTCACATGAAAAGGAAAATCACTAAAAACTGCAATGTTTAGCCTATTCTAGAGGATATTCGCCTAACATTGAGGATATTTGAAGCCTTTACTGGGTTGGTGCAACGAATGGGTACACGAATAGATCAGATATCACCGTTGTTCGAACTTGAGTCAAATTCATTGAAAAGCGAGACATTTATGCCCTACACATCCTAGGCTTATTAAAATCTTAAAACTGAAATTCAAGCTTTGTTAGGCCAAAATTTTTGTTTTTAGGCCAAAATTTTCTCATTTATCATGGAACATCGTGCATCCGACCCTGCGATATTCGGAGAGAGAAAAATCACCGTATTCACCTAACCTTGTTTATTTAAATTCCAATGATTGGAGTGTTATGTATAATTAACTAGTTTGCATAATTGTTCCAATCTTCATTGGAAATTTATCAAAAATATATTATTACACAAAATAATAATCAGTATTAATCAAAAATATAGTTATAAATGAGTTACTAAGTGAAAGAAAAGAAACAAAATCGATATCAAATAATTTTTACTAAGAACGACGGAGCTAAAAACATTAAATTAAACAGAAAAAAGTTGGTTCGGCGATAAAAATCGATCATTAGAAAAAAAATCCCCCGTTTGTTAACTAATCTGAAAGATTAGCCAATTTTATACTTTTTTTCAACAGCGATTGGACATGTTTCGAAAATATTTTTTCTCTTTCTTGCATTAGATTAATTTCCGACCTCTTGAGTTCAAACGATGACTTCATTTTAGACTAGGAATCTAAAAAAATACATATTAAGAGTAGGCATTACGAAATATAAGGTGTATTCTGTTCACTGCGAAATAATTTCAGCGGCAATAAGAACAATTTGCGAGAAAAAGCTTCAAACTGTCCTTACTTTTTTCTTTTTTTTTACTGAAAAGAAGTATAATTGGTACATTAAATGGAAACCAAAAATAATAAGAGAAAATTATAGATTT